ACTTCACTTTGCACTTTTCCTATTTCTGCTTTCAAGCCGCTGCACAGCCGTGAGTCATTCTGAGGAGTGCTCCTCTGTGATGATTGACAGACTGTCCAGGAAGCAGGTTCACCAGCTGCTTTAACAGCACCGACACTCAAGATTTGTCACATATTCTCATATTAAGTAGATCTCTTGATTTTACAGTTGTATCATTTATCAATTTGAAAAATATCACATTTCCTTGTGATAGTGACCTGTTGTGGCCTTTAAGAAGTTGTAAAGCATGTAGCAAGTCAGATGTAAAGCTTACCTAGCCATGAAGTGATGATGTATTGAAGAAAGGAAGAATAAAACAAATAAAATGAGCACAATAATCTACCAGGCCTAGTTTGCGTAGAAAATATTTCTTTTCAACCATATGCAGATTTTTCCTTTTTTTGACTTTATTCTGTACCTCTATACAGAATTTCAACTTTGAGTTTCATTCCCTTTTTTAATGACTTTCAATCACCTCTCACCATCTTTATCAGCATATCTGGACAACTGAACTTCAAGAGAACAAGAGGCTAGCAAAACTGACTGACTTATGGCCCCATTCATTAAAAATGTCCTAAATTTATAGTTGAACGTAGTCTTTAAGAAAAGTTTTGTTTATTAAGGACCTAAAAATACTATTTGTTATTCACCATTTGCTTGACTAAAGATATCTCTATGTCTGCCTACTGTAGATCACAATTTTCTCTTAGTCAGGAATTGCCATGTTGTTTACAAGTTGTTTAGCAACAGCTTCTCCTCAAACATGAGTGCAAGACTGGAGAGGGTTGACTATCATTTCAGCTACATAGAAGGCCCTGTGAAATCACTGTATCTAGGCAGGATTCTCACTTACAGGCGTTGAGTCATATTCTAGTAGATTGGGAGTGGGCCATTGTTTTTCCCAGTGGGCCATAAGAAACTGAGACTTTTGTGGAGGGCCGTGCCAATAAACTGAACTCAATTCTGCTCAATAACAATTTTATCTCCTTATAAGCTTTTGGTGCAGCCCTCCACAACAGTCCCAGTTTCTTATGTTTGCCCCCGGAAAGATTAATTGCCCACCCCTACTGCAGGTGACGTTCATGTCCTTTGAGACAATACACATCCCACACATCACTTAATTAATCTAGACTTTGCACAGAAATGATTTCATTAGTGAAGAAACAACTTCACTGCTCAAGAAATGTACCTATAATTTATAATGACAGTTTCTTACAGCGCAGATATCCCACTGTATCCCACTGTGTTGTTTTTCTTCATATTTACAGGCAATGTCATAATGAAGCAAGGGCAAAGAGATCATGTTAAAGAATGCCACAATATCAGATTTTCACCCCACAATTATCATGTCCAAAACATACAGGCACTACATTTACTCTTCTTGGGTGCGAGAGGCTTCAAGTGTTTTTCTCCAGCATAATGGTAGCCACAAAGTGTAGCAACGAGCTAGCTAGTTAGCTACTACCCTAGCTATTGCAGTAGTCAGCTAGCTAGCATGATGTCATTTTCTTTTTTGCTTCCTTCAAAGCAATTAAGGTGCCATACATCTATAATTCAGTGATATCACTACTTCATTTTTCAAACATCAAGGTTATCATGAGTGCTGGTATATTGTAATATCGTGAGCTAGAATATTTTCCACAGCAGATATTTTGGCTCGCCACTGTAGGAAAAGAGTAATGAATAACCTTAGTTCCTGGAACCTGAAGTCCATTAATTTTCAATTAGTCCATATCAGTCGGGAAGCATGAAAAACACCCCGAAGTAGTGATGTTCGATTCGTGAACGAATCGTTCAATACTCGAGAATCACTTTACTGACTCGTGAATCATGATTCACAAGCCCAACTGACTCACTGACTCATCCCTGTTGCTGTTAGCAAACTAATTCCATTAGTAGAAATACATCTAGCTTATAATTAAAATTGTGGGGGGGAAACAACAGCCAGTTTCGTAACAAAAGCATTTCTGCCCTGAACTGGAAGAAAAAACCCTGAGTAGAAGCTCACATCAAGAATCAAAGAGCTGAATCAAAGAGCGAGCGATCGAATCACTCACTCACTCACTCACTCACCCCCTCCCTCCTGTGCTGAATCAAAGAGCGAGCGAACGAATCACTCACTCACTCACCACCTCCCTCCTGGCTCACAGCTTCTTCTTCTTCTTGGTTGGCAACCAATGTTAAGGCGCATTACCGCCCCCTGGCTCACAGCGCAGTGGACATTTAGATGAGAAAATATATATTTGACACACTTAAGGAAAATACTAATAAAATACAAATAAACAAAATAAATGTTTATTAAGCAATTTTGATAGGAAATTGCTTAATTTTAGAAATGTTTTTGCTCTTTTTTTCTCTATAAAATAGTCTTTTGTTTTTTTTTAATCATTCATCTTAGCAGTGGGATTTACATGAAAAGGGAAACAAATTAAGTTTGAGTGAAAATGTAAAATTTTTGCACTCTCTGGTCAACTGACTCAGTGAATCAAATGACTCAAAAAACCACTTTCACTTTGGTGAGTGACTCATTAACACTCGATTCAGTAAAAAGAATCAAATTTACCATCACTACCCGGAAGCCGAGGGGAGGCTCAGAAGGATGTGTGTAAATAAAAAGCAGATGTAATTACAGCTATTAGTTACACTTGTGCTTTTCCTCAGACGACGAGGCAAAAGGTCTGCTGTGAAAAACGCCTATTTATAGTACATGCCCCATTTTTGAATGTCTGTGATGAAATTACAATTGGAAAGCGCTAAATACAACTGGAAACATCCACCATGACTAAACTCACTTAATTTGACCACAAAGCTTTCAAAGCTTTTTTGTGTCCAGATGATTCTCCAACAAGGACCTGAGAGGAAGATCAATATGCTAAACAAATTAAGTATCCGTAGGGCTTTTTGACTTTTTAGCGAAGTGCAATAGCAGTGAAGTATGAAAGCAAATTGGCTTGACAGTACCGGAGATGCACGATAGACACAGGTGAAAACTGTGATCCGATGCCTGAAGTGCATGGTTTTATTAAGGATGAGCTGTTTCATTAAGGACCAAAGTATTTTTCCGTAAATGGGAATCTATGCATTTTGTTTTTCTGTGTTAAATAGAGTGTTTGGCTGCCTTCACTGTTGAATAATGCATTTTACTCTTGTATCTTATTTCAGAGAACTGGGCATTCCACACGGACATTTGGCAGATTTACCCATGGTGTGTTGTCAGTATGAGCTTTACACCAGTTCTATTCTACCGTAGTCTCTTCCGTTATTATATTTAATTCATTTATTTATTGTTTTGGTTTTAAAAAATGTAAATTTGAGCCATTTCTCTCTTTTTTTGCCTGATCCCATTTCTTTTGTCACCATTTTAGCTTTCAATGGCATGCGCTTCAGTTGGAACAACTCTACATAAAAGCTGTTTTTTTACGTATGTTTTAAAAACACCTGTATTGCTTCTGTGTATGTTCTACTGCTCGACTCCAGCAAGAAAGTGGGGCTCATTCTTGTACATCCACCCCCACAAAGCAATATCGCTGCAGCATAAAAATCCTGTGTAAATTTGACGGCTTGAGGTATAATATTTGGCAATATTTGTGTAATGTAAGCTGTTCCAGTCACATTACTATTCAGGCTATACACTTCAAAATATATTTCGTTGTAATTACATCACTGAGTTGATTTAACTCGCCTGGCATGCGAGCTATTTAACTTCATTTGATACAGCTGGGTGGATCTACATACCCACACCTGTAAAAAAAACACACACATACACACACTAGCAGTGCAATAGGTTAATTGTGCTTCTTCATGTTACACTGGCTTTCTTATTGTTAGGCAGAGCTTCTGGAATTATCTAATAAGGATGTGACTTGATGTGAGGCGCAATGAGGTGCAACCTATTTTGTGGTTGTCGTCCTCCTCCTTCGCAGGCTCTCTAACCAGTAAACATATCTGTCAGCCACCCAGCAGTTTGGCTGGTGATTTTAGACTCTAATGGGTACGAAGAGGATTGGTCGTGTGGGTGAGAGAGATGCTGGTTTCCATAGTAACGGTGCTCTCCCGTCTGCCCTCTCTTGCTGCCACTATGGAAGCGAAGTTTTCCGCTCCTGCCGAAAGCAAAGCTATGGTAAACCCGCCTGTCATCCTCTCTCCTTTGTTTTTATTTATTTGATTTGTTTCTGTCGCTGACCTCATCTGATGTAATGTGATCTCAGCAACGGAGATGTGGTTTCAGGCTCCTTACTTTGACCCTGAGTGTCTGTGTGTGTGTGTGTCTGTTTGCCTCTGTGCTGCATCTTTTGTCCTCAACATCTAGGCCGAGCTTTGTCAATCAGCGATCTGCGATCCTCTGTTTGCATCGTGTTTATCGTCGTCGCACCCTGTTGTTTTTGTGTCCTTTCCGTTTTTGAATGTTCCCCATAAAACTGAGAACCAAGTCAGATGCTTATCCCACGTCTTCTTTTTGTAAATTATGCACTCAGAGTTCAGCTTTCACTTGTATTATATACAAACCATATTTATTTACTGATTGTAGTTGTCCTCTTTTGTGAAAACAGTCATGCATGCATGAGTTCAAGTCAAATAACGAGGTTTGAGTAAGATTTAAGATTTTGCTCTTCTTCCTTACATATAGATTCCTCTTGAGCTTCAAGCTGACTCAAAACTGAGTCAAGAGCATATTTACATACCCCTCCCCTGCATGCATTTTTATAAGCCACAGCTGGCTTCATGTCACGCTCCAGTTTCAACCCATTTATTTCACTCTGGGGGGGGGGGGGGCGAGGAAGGGGAGGGGGGGCTCTTCGCAGCTCTTTTCAGTGACCCATCAAAACGTCTGCTGCTAAGCAAATGTGAAAAGTCATTTTCTACCTGCGCTCTCTTGTTGTTTCCAGCCTCCTCTTCCCGCCCTCCACCTCAGCTCCTCTTTGCTGGATTTCCACCTTCTCCTCCCGTCTCATCTCATAGTGTTTTCCTTCTCTTTGTTTCAGACTCTGAGACCACAGAGGATGAGACCACAGAACCTCAGATGGAAACCAAAGAAGGGCCCGGGAGGCACCATGATAAGGCTGGCCGGAAAGGACCTTCAGGTATTTTATTTAAACTCCTTTTTTTCCCTTTTTTTTTAAGCTTATGTAAGTTTGTGGTTTCGAGGCTTCGTTTTTCTTTTTTGAGGTCATATTTTCTAGCTGCAAGCTTGCACTACTTAAAGAAAATATTCTGCAGCTCTTTGTCCAAAATGATATTTAGCCAGATTTACAGCTCCACCACCAACATCTCTGCCAAAAACACACTTGTATAAAATTATGATAGATAGATTTAATGGAGGCTGTTATCATGCCGGCCCAAAACGTGCGCTGGATGAAATCCGATATGGCAGAAGGCATTAATCCCTCATGGTGTGATGCAACAGTGTGACACACTGCCCTAGTTTCAAGCAGGGAACCTGTCTCAGGTCTGGAGCTCTCTGTGTGGCTCCACAGGGGAACGTGCTGTCCGACAAAAATGGGACTATTTCTGCTGGATAAATGAGGCTGAAACAAATGCATGCTATGCCAATTAAAATGTAAATGTACATCGTTAAGTTTAAATAGAGGTACGTTAATGAACAGAGATCAGGTGGAACGGTCCAGTGGGTTGGTGAATGTTATGTTATACTCACCTAAAAATGAGGTGCTGCATGAGATTTCTTTCTTTCACAGTTTGCCGTGCTGGTGTAGAGCTTCAACAGCTCAAATAATCAGTGAATTTACTGGCTGGTTGATCATCTTCCAGCTTCTCCAGTGGGAGGATTTGCTTTGCTTTTCTCTCTAAATTGAGGATTTTTGCAGTTTGGACTACTGGTTGGACAGAAAAAGACACGGGAAGCCATTTCTTGGATAACACAGATTTGGGAAATCGTAAATTATTGATAGTCTAAGACCTACTATTGTTTTTTTTTTTTTTTAAATGAAGGTATCATTCATGGATGGATGGATGGATGGATGGTATCATATCTATCATATCTATTATAATGCCACCCAGAAGTTAGTGGTTTGTGAGCTCTCCCTTCTAGTATTATGGCCATTACTGTTTTGGTCTTTTGGAGGAGAAATGAACACATTTGGACAAGAACCAAAAGCTGCACAAGTGCATCACACAGATACAGATACATGGTATTTAGATTTCAGATAGTACACAAACACACTAAGACTACTGCACAGACTTCTTAGAGGAGCTGTTAGTGGACGTAACTTTACAGCAAGTCAAAGCACAACTTTAAACTTTGATAAAATTTAAATGGTGGAGTTATCCAAAGATGTGTGGCCGTCATAGAAGGGGAAATTAGTCGTAAAAAATGAAGCTGGGCATTTTAACATGGGCGATTGACCTGCAGGGGGAGCCAGCCTCAAGTGGCTTTTTGAGTAGCTGTGCACTGCGCAAAAGATTTGAGGCAACCTACACTGATGGTACTTTCCTGTGCTCATAATTCCATCGACTTTAACGAAACCCCCTATAATGACAGAGCGTCCACCGTGCTTTACACATGGCTGCAGACACCTACGCATTCAACAATTTGGACCAAAAAATTTCAAATTTCGATTTGTCACTCCTGTTGCCAATGTACACTCTGGTTCTTCCCTTGAGCTAGGTATCATTTTGTGCTTTAATAATTCATGGGTCAAGTATGCCCACAAACAAAAAGCATTAATCTGAAAATGGTCAGGTACAAGGACTGGACTGAAAATGAGTGAAAAAGCAGACTAAAACTTTGAAAGACCTTCAGAAAGCCTGGAGAACTATTGCTCGAAAGGAAGCAAAATATAAAGAAACGAGTTGTGGCTCAAGACTCAGCACAGTAATCCATATTGGCTTCATTCTTCAGCCACAGAAGTGTCTTTTCATCATCTTTAATTCAAACTCTCAGGATCTCAATAATTCGATTTTAATATAATTTTGACTTTAACAGAGGTCTCCGTTCCCAAGCTCTGTATCTCACAGTCGTGGGTTTGGGATTCTTTTTGGATTTCAGAAGAATGTTATTTAGTCCAAGAGCTTCTCAGTTTTGTTATTCATACTTTCTATGCTTGTCTCCTGTGTAAAGTCAACCTTTTCTCCATGTTTGTTTACATTTTGTCTTCGTGTCAGATTTGAATGTTTGACTCTTGGTGTGTCAGCGTTCACTAGTTCCTGTTTTATTTTGATAGTTTCTTATTTTGTGTGCTTTGTATTGAGTTTTACTTTCCCGCTCTCATTATTCTGGATTTGTTGGTATTTCCTTGTGTATTTTTCTTTATCCGAGTCTCGTCTTATCCATGTCCTTTCTTAATGCTGTGTGCTCCCTTATTCTGTGTTTTCCCTTTGACTCAAGCCCGTCCTTGTTTTTGTTTTTTTTAAGAAAAGGCTTCAGCAATAAAGCTGCTCTTTAATTTTGAGTCCTGTCTCCCAAGTCCTACATTCTAGGTCAAATGTTAAACTCCTCAAAGCCCCCAGCATTTGATTTCCTCCTTTCTGTAATAACAGCCCAAATTAAAGCTACTGTAAAGAAAATCCTTCTTCCATCCAAGATTTTACAGTTTGGAAATCGCGCTTATTCAACTAAAGCAATGAACTAAGTTATATATTTCATCCCTGCTCAAGATTTTTTTTTTGTTGCTAAAATAAAATTGCATATTGACTAATGGGTACTGTGTGAGGCAGTTTACTTGATCTAAAGCAAATCCGATTAAGCCTAAAGAGCATTAAATTTGATACAGGAGAAAAAAGAAATGCAAATCCTCTGGATCTTAATGCAAATGTCTAAAATTTAAAGGGGGGGGGAAGCATTTTGTCTAGCGGCAAGGTTACGCTTGAACCTGTTAGTGTTGCATTGATGAGAACAATTCCTGAAAGAGTCTTTACTAATTTGCTAAAGTGGTGCTGGTGCATTGGAGTCGTAGAACCTTTACGTCCTCGCCATCCACTCCTAACCAAGCAACATGATGTCTGAATATAGACCTGAAATATTGACACCCTTCTCCTCTACCACAAAGAAATGTTACAGTATATTCTTTCCTCGCTCATACTCGGTGTTTGCACTTTCTAAGCTTTTGTGTTGGTGGGCTGACTACGCCCTCATCACGTCCCTCCAGAGACAAGCCACAGAAAAATAGAAAGAGAATATCAAATGAGGGAGGGATGAGGTGATACATCATTTGTTTTCTTCATGGAACAGAGTGGTTGCCTCTGCTGAATACTAAATAATGACTACAATACCTTGTAATACACAAACAAGATACATTTTCTCCTCAGGCAATGTATTCCAGAAAATATTTCCGGCCCTAAAGCCAGACACGGATGAGATACGTTTCAAAGCACGGTGTGTTCAAATAAAAATGAAAGCTGCTGCCCGGCCTCGGAGAGAAGTGAAAACAGAATTTTGAAGCTGTATATATCAAGACCTAAAAGTGTGGCTGCTCTGAGAAGATTTCTCATTTTGTTCCGTCTGTTTTTTTGTTTTATGAGAAACTGATATTGCACAGCTACTGATGGTGACGCTGAGTCAGTATCATTCAATCAGTCAAGTGCTAAGATGTTTTTTTTTATCCCCGACCGTATCGTTGCTTCAAGGTTTCCTTCGTTAACAGAAGATGCTGACCGCTCTTTTTTTATGCTGCTAAAGCATTCTTGTCTCCATTGCTCATCGCTGGGCGAAGGATCACTTTAAGTGGTACACGTTTCAAACGTGGCCCCTTCACTTTCCGTTTCATTTCCTGTTTTCAAGCAATCAATAGGCTGTTTATCCATCATGCTTAACAACGCTGTCTTCATTAGACGTCATTTCCCCCCCACCACGGGTTTTTTGCTGGCTTCTTACTGCATTAACTTCCAGTTAAGACATTAAAAAATATTTTAGATATAGGAATGCTTTATTAGAGAGTAAAGCAAAATCAGAGTCTTGGTGATACATAATTTCTTATTAGATTTATGCTAAAATATTTTTAAGAGGAGCGCGGTATTAGGAAATTACCATGCTTCCATTAAAATGGTTTAATTCACACAGCCCATCCATCAACTGTCTCTTCAATCTGATGAAGTTTGACTTGCAGAAACTTCTGTAACTTCTATAACACCAAAACCAAAAAAAATAAGTATATACCTGTGTATATACCATACAATAAAAACAGTCATGCAATATGCAATATGATATGACATGATATGATTATCCAATGATGGATGGTATGATATAAAATGCCAAAAAAGTGGTACAATGTGAAATGATACAATACAACACGAAATAAAGAGATCCAGACAATACAATTTTAGTACAATATGACATTTTATGTTATGATATGATACAATAGACACAATATAAAAAGATACGTGTCATACAATAGACACAGTACAATATAATATAATACAATGTGATATCCAGCCTATTCATTTATGTCCACTGTAATGAACATTTGTTTTTGCTCTCTATTATCATCACATCACATTTATATCAAGTCTTGATGTGCTCAACAGAGGAAATCGTGGCCTTTCCAATGATATCTCATGTGTTTGGCCTCTTTTCGCTCTGAAGAGGAAGAAATATCAAATACTTTCTTCATCCCATATTTGGGAAATGCCTTTAGCGTACTAACTATACTTACTTACTGCAAACAAATGGCTGCTTATTTAGCCATGCCTGTATATAATATTCTGCTATGCAAGAAAGCTATATTGTTATTGTTAAAAACAAGTAACCACACTCTCACCAATGAATTAGAAGGCTCACAGCTCAAGATCATTTTCAACACAGACACAGTTTAGTCTCTTTATTGATCGCCCACAACAACCAATATATTGTTGTTGTTGTTTTTAAAATGCTAAAAGTCAGATATAAAATTATACAATTTTAATTTTTAAATTCAAACAGTCTCTCTCCCTTTCTCTCTTTCTCTATACAGGTGAGGGAGGAAGGGTGATGGACTACAATCCCGATGCTTCAGATCGCAGGGCCACCCTCCCCGGCACCTATGACCCTGTAGTGGAGCGAGAGCTCCGCACTCTGGGTTCCCGACCTCCAGGGCCCCATTTGGATCCCACAAACCCAGCAAGGCAAGGCCTCGGTGGGGGTCCTTCTGAGGGGGCCCCCCCTGTCCGTCACCTGGGTGTGGAACCACTCATCCGAGCGTCTCACGCTAACCTTGCCCGGCCCATTCAGGGGTCAGAGGAAAGTGTTTCCGTAGGCAGCGACTACTATGGGAGCATGTTCAGCCTGTACAGAGGGAGAACATTTTCTATGCCATTATAGCACATGGCTTTTTAATTCCCAGGATTTCCCCCAAAAAGCAAAAAGACTGCCCAGAAACCCAAATTGCAATGAAAACTGACTCATACGGCAAGACATTATATCCTCCATAGACCCAACTCGCAAAAACTTTATTCCATTTGCTATACAATTTGTTATTCATTTTTTACTCTTCTTTATATATTCCCATTTTTCCATATAGTGTACTTTTTTATTTTGATGTCACACTTTCCTTCGACTCTGCGTGCCATCAGTGTGGATTGATTTGAATCTAACAATGATTACAAGCCAACAAAATAACAATGTTAATATTAATATTTCATATAGCCATTAGAAAGGATGCACTTGTACAATCTTCTAATATAATATATTATTCAGCACTTCTGAAAACTGTGATTTTTACCCACTGCATGTTTTTTACAGCCGCCCCTCACTTTTGGATTAACACCATATGTTTATAGGTTTGCAGTGGCATGCATGGGTTGCTTTGATCCGAGCTGATATTAGCATGAGTGTTCTCACTGAGTAATTATCATGTGATTCACAGGTTATTTTTAGGCATGGTGTTATTGTGTTAGAAGTTTAAGCAGGGGTGCTTTTTTTGATTTTTGTAGGAGTTTATGTTCTTATTTTGTAATATTGTTGGTGCAACATGCCAACAACAGCGGTTATTGCAGTTTTAGGGTTAAGGTCTTAAGAAGTCTCAATCTCAAAATTTCATTACATTTGTTTCTCTGCCATTTGATTTCACACTGTCTGATGTGTTGCTCATTACCTGATACAACACAGAAAGCACATGCGAAAACACAAAGAACTCAAACATGATGAGACAAAATGACACAAACGGACATTTATCTGCATCTTATTACTCCTCCAAAGCCTTCGCCACTGCACCAGAGCTCTAACTTCACCCCTCCATTATTTCCCCTCAATCCTTACCCCTCTAGGCTTCAAACTGCTGATGAATCACAGGGCCTGTCCTCCTATGTCCCCCTGTCTTCCCCCCAGCCACCTCTTACCACGCACAAAAACAGCATCAGCACACAAAAACAACACTCGGGCAAAGTCAAACCTTCAGGTCCTCAAACTTCTAATACGGGCCAGTCATCTGGCACCAACAGTGCAGTTATGACGCCCAAACTGGCTCGTGCAGGACCCAAGATCTTTGACAAGGTCCTTGCCTTTGAGGAGCGAAGGGTGGATCTGCCACGAGGGGCAGCTTCCTTTGAATCAGATGAGAGTGGAAAGAAGACAGGAGGCCCGAGCAAAGATGAGAGTCGAATACTGCAGGGTGCAGCCCAGAAGAGAGCGGTATTCAAGCAGAGGGCCTCTTCATTAGAGGACAAGACAAACTACTCCCAGAGGATCCAGAATTACCAGAGCAAGTTCACAGAAGAGCTCCAGCGGATCAAGAAGCTTGTGGGGAAACCAAGCTTGAAGAAGGCATATTCAACTGAGCAGCTGTCACAGAAAGACAGGCTGCACATGGGGAAACTAGAACCCATTCCTGCCCAAGTAGTTAAAAAGTTAGAGGCGAGGGAGCGAGCCCTAGAGGAAGGAAAAGTTGGGGAGAGGGAGGGGGGCAGCATATGGAAGAATTCTCAGCAGGCCCAAGGCAAAGACCCGGGGAATCAGAGCAGCAGCTCCGAAAAGGAAAAGATGACACAGTCAGATTTGCACGGGAAACCAGTAGATAGCGCAAGGAAAATCTCTGTTACCACGGCAACGCCACCAGTTCACCAGTTACCAGGACAACCGTTGCCAATAGCTACAAAGACGAGCCTAATCAGGTTTGAAGAAGATTATCTTTACTTGTGAAATTTTCTCTTAAAAAAAGATTCCAATATGATCATATTTGTATATTTTTCTTTGAGGGATTTGAAATTTCTTTTAAAAAACAACAACAAAGCACTTAATGGAAATTAAGAGTTTTAGACATGTAATATTTTTTCCCTCACTTGTTATATTACATAACAGCTTTCTCATCTTTTGCATGCAGGGAAACCCTACAAAGCTCTCTGGCAGCTGACAAAGACACACTTGTTAACACATCCCACAAATCTTCATCCTCCTCCAGAGTTGATTCAAAGAGAGACACCAACATGGACAAGGCGGACCACCGATCACCAGGCCCAACAGGGAAGAGAGCATCCCCAGTAACTGTAAGGGAACCAGGACCCCAGTTCCCACCCAAGCCTCCTCGGCTCACCCCATCACCCAATCCTTCCATCAGCCCGCTCCTAAAACGAAGGAAGGCGGAGGTGGGGCGGACATCTCCGGCCATGAAAGTGAACATCCCCACCATCCTGGTGGAGGATGAACCCATGGAGACAGAAAGTGTTCCACACAGGAGCAACGAGGGAAGGAAGAGGGAGGGCAGAGTACACAAGAGCAAAAAAGGCCGTTCTGCTCAACGGAAGTCTGCAGACGAAGGTAGGTGATGCTTTACGAGTGTTCTAGATAAACGTGTTTGTAAAAAATCCAAGCAGCATCCATCGCAGATGAGAGTCTGGAACTGGATGAACACTTTAATCATTTTGGGAGCCATTAGGTTCCTGCCTGTGGCTTGAGTGACCCAACTGTTGTCCAGTTCGTTTCTTTACACAAATAACAAAACAAATACAACCACCTTTTGTTGTCCCTTTAGAAGTCTTTGAGGCTTTATCCATGGATTTCTGCTCAACTACCAAGTCTACCAAGTTGCCAGGCTTACAGTACTATTTTCATAAATGTTCCCATTTGGCAGGTCAAATAAAATAAAATATCTAGACAAAGTGGTAGAAGGGAACATAATGACAACCATAACCCTAACAAAAGAGCACTAGGAAGCTGGTGGATCTTAAGAGATTAAATAACTCCCTTAGCCCTAAGCTAAAAAGTTTTGCTATCATATCTGATTAAAGGTTTTTGTTCTGTTTCACCTTTGACCACCACTGAGTGAGATTATTAAAAAACAAACAAACAATTTAAACTGTAAAAAGATCAGGACCTACACACACAACACTACCCCTATGAAAAATGATAAGTTTAACTACCAGGGGTCAGAGAACTAGACTTTTTAGGGTTGTGACTTCACTCTTAAAGAACGTAAAGTAATATTGGGTGTTTGTTTGCTTCCCATTTTAACAACTTTTTCTTTTTCGTGCCTCATTTGTGGCTTTAAGATCTGAAACACAAAAAGAACTTATTGGAGATTTATTACCTTTGCTAGGCTGTAAGTCCCCGAATAAGAAAAACATGCACATAGAAATAAAAAATACAGATTACAAACTAAAAAGGAATGATCAAAAAGGTTGAACTTATATATATATATATACATATATATATATATATATATATATATATATATATATATATATATATATATATATATATATATATATTATATTATGTTGTCCACCATGGAAAATTAATCAGAGCCAGAATTGCTGCCGGGCCCAGACTCACTAATGAAACTCTTTTCATCATGGGGATCCGTAAAAGGAAACTAGCCCAATGCCTTAATTTGGAGTCTGACCCATTTTTCTAAAGCAGGTAATAGAGCACCGGCAGCTGCACAGAAAACACTCTGACCGTCCCTCTAATTCACAGGCGGTTCTTCCGATGACTCTTACCTGTCTGCTGATGATGAGCCAGCTGAGGCCCCGAGGTTTGAGAAGCCTCTTGAGGACACCACCGCACCCAGCGCCTCTGAGGTCACACTGCAATGCATCATCACTGGCAGCCCAACCCCTACTGGTACAGCTGAAGACAAGTCACCATTTTAACATCCCCATTTTCTATAATTTTCTTTTTTGAATTCAGTAAGGAGACTGTTTTCTGTTAAGTGCCGTATAAAGCGATTTCTTGCACACATAGTCTTATGAAATCTGGTCAATTTTAAGTGAAACTCTCATAAACCAAATCAATGAGCCTTATCCTTTCACATGTTTGCAATCTGACTTCTTCCATATCAGTTTTTCAGTGTTTGTGTTTTCTCTCTCTTGTTTTGCAGTTAGACATGGTGACACATTTTACCAGCACAAATTTTAAATGAGGAGAGCGACACCGGGGGGAACATAAAAACGATGCTGTTCTCAAACATGTTGACTCACACTTTAATCCGCTGCCAGCCCTCCTCCGCCTGACATTCTGTCTTAATGACTACAAAGGCCCGCTGGAGCTCAGCATCCCGACCGGGGCTCCTCGCAGCGATAGTTGCCATGGCAACCCATTAATTCTTGAAGGCACCGAGCTCCCCCTCGGCATGAATTCAAAACGCAGACCTGCCCCCGTCACACAAAGGTCTCCTGAGCCTCAAAGGCAGCCGTGGCATTCAAAATCAGGCAAAAAAAGAAAAATATAAGCGCCTGCAGTGGACGGGTGTTTAATAAGCGCCTGCAGTGGATGGGTGTTTATACTACGCTGTGCATGAGAGAAGCTCCCAGCAGTGCTGGTTCGGCCTCATGCAAATGCAACTTTCCCCTCTTCACAGTTTTGTCAACAAATGCGAGCGCTCACCCTGGTGCTTTTCCGACAGCAGCACGCGGGCCTCTGTTGCCATATTAGGCCAGCGGAGTCTAACTTTGCAGGAGTATTTTTAGAAGGCCTCTTGTTCTCTCGGGTAATTGCCGTCTGCTTTATGTCCCCGCTCGAGATTACAGCTGTAATCGTGGAGTTTTTCATCACTTCAGATTTCACGCTACAGGGCTTGGGGATGGAGCTGCCAGAAAGTGGCGGGAGATTATGTGAGTCATTTTAGCCGAGAAGTGTGTAGATTGTTGCCACGACAAGCCAAAATAGTGGGCGAGATTGATTTACTGGCTTCAAAGAAATATGCGAGAACATAACACAGGCCTATTGTCATTTTTGCATTAAAAAAAAATCAAAGAAGTTGAAGAACCACAGCTTTGTGACTCAGTGGAGTCTTTAAACCTAAGCTTTAATAAACTTTTAAAATATTCAGCTTTTTCATCAGCCCGGGATGTCAGGAGTGTAAGAGAATAAAGGCGTAACAGTGATGGGAAGCAGAAGGACAGGGTGGAGGAAAGTTGGTCGGCTCACACTGTTCGGGAGTTGTGTAAGAGTTGGCAGGTTTACATAAATACTCTGGGGAGTTATCCCCTGGTGCACAGACGCCGCTCAGAGATGTGACTCTAGGTAGGTTATTTTGTTGTTTTTATCCCCCCCTCCTTTTTTTAATGCTATAAGCGCAACAGAATATCCACCTACATCGCTTAATAATTTGGCATAAACAGTGTTTTTTTATCGTGTTTCATTACTATTAGTCAGCTTTTCCATATATGGCTTTCGGTGCATTTCTTTCCATCTGTATATGCGACCAAGCCTGCCTTTCACTTGCAGATGATGACCCACTTTCCCTTTATTTTGCACAGTTGAATGTCATGCAAAATACCTATCAGTCCACTGTTCTGCCATCTGAAAGGGGGGACATGCCTTTATTCTACTTGGGTAATTGATTTTATTCATTTTCACTCGCAACGTTATCTAGTTGTGCCAGATATGTGAGGTCTTAGGCTTTGCAAAGATTGTGAAACGCTGACACGAAAACGAAGGCAACAAAAGAAGAAGGAGAGACAGAAAGAGAGAGGCAGCTCTTTATATTTCTTCCCGCAGCTGTGAGTTGAGTCTGACTGTAGTCCAGACTGCCAAGGGTCCAGACACAGTGTCTGATCTAGAACTCGTGGGAATGAGTGAATGATTGGGTCAGGGATTAAGGGATTAATTCGTTATCTGTTCGCTTATGGTCACTTCAGATGGTCCCTGTGCTCAGTGTGTGGAGGTGCACGTGGCCCACTTGTGTCTAACCCACTGCTTTGTGTTGCCAAGTGCTCATTTTGGCAAAGATCAACACCAGCAAAGCAAAAAAAAGACCGTAAACAAAATGAGCTACGCCAGTGCCATGTTAACCATATTTCAAAAGGCTTTGCACTCAATTACTTAAATTAAGACGTGTGTAAATCAGAATCGACTTTTTTGTGAACTCAAATAAAAATGAATTAGACACGGCGGTAGTATGCTTGTAATTCTATTATATTTGTGTCCGATATCTTGTTCTTCCAGAGCCGACCCACACGCAATGTGGGAAATCTGCTGTATCTCTGGAAATCAGCAGTCCAATCCAGTCAGATGAGGAGTACCTGAGTCCTCAGGAGGAGGTGATGGAGGTCGGAGGCTCACTTCCTCACCATTTAAAAGAGCCTCCCTCATTTCAGGTAAAAGTATAAAAGCTCCTTATGATTTTTTCTTTAAATAACAAGCGCAGCGTCATAGTCGATGTCTCTGATATCCCCATTTCGTTGTCTTTCCCGAATCATCATAATTAATGTTGGTCCAGGTTCAACACTGCAAGTGACCAATCACATTGTTGTGATGTATTGCCAAAAGTATTCGCTTGCATATGAATTTGAATGACATCCTGTTCTTAATCCTTAGGGTTTATTTTGATAATTTGATCAACTCTTTGCAGCTCTAACAGCTTCAATTCTTCTGGGAAGGTTTTCCACAACCTTTAGGAGTGTTTATGGGAATTCTCCCAGAAGCACATTTGTGAGGTCAGACACTGATGTTGGACCAGAAGGCCTGGCTCGCAGTCTCCACTTTAATTAATCTCAAAGGTGTTCTATCAGGTTGATGTCAGGACTCTGTGAAGGCCAGTCAAGTTCTTCTACACCAAACTCGCTTATTGGTGTCTTTATGGACCTTGCTTTGTGCAGGAAGGAAGGATCCAGCTGCAAACTGTTCCCACAAAGTTAGGAGGATAAAATTGTCACTAATGTCTTGTTATGTTGAACCATTAAGAGTTCCTTTCACAGGAACTAACCCTGCTGGCCCAACTCCTGAAAAACAATCCCGAACCCTAATCCCGCCTCCAACAAACTTTTCACTTGGCACAGTGCCATCAGACAAGTACTGTTCCTCTGGCAACCCCCAAATCCAGAGTCATCCATTGGATTTTACTGCATTTAACTAAAAAAAAAAAACAGAAAGAAAAAGAAGAAACAATTGTCTGTTGTCATTACAGGGAGTGCAGAATTATTAGGCAAGTTGTATTTTTGAGGAATAATTTTATTATTGAACAACAACCATGTTCTCAATGAACCCAAAAAACTCATTAATATCAAAGCTGAATGTTTTTGGAAGTAGTTTTTAGTTTGTTTTTAGTTTTAGCTATTTTAGGGGGATATCTGTGTGTGCAGGTGACTATTACTGTGCATAATTATTAGGCAACTTAACAAAAAACAAATATATACCCATTTCAATTATTTATTTTTACCAGTGAAACCAATATAACATCTCCACATTCACAAATATACATTTCTGACATTCAAAAACAAAACAAAAACAAATCAGCGACCAATATAGCCACCTTTCTTTGCAAGGACACTCAAAAGCCTGCCATCCATGGATTCTGTCAGTGTTTTGATCCGTTCACCATCAACATTGCGTGCAGCAGCAACCACAGCCTCCCAGACACTGTTCAGAGAGGTGTACTGTTTTCCCTCCTTGTAAATCTCACATTTGATGATGGACCACAGATTCTCAATGGGGTTCAGATCAGGTGAACAAGGAGGCCATGTCATTAGTTTTTCTTCTTTTATACCCTTTCTTGCCAGCCACGCTGTGGAGTACTTGGACGCGTGTGATGGAGCATTGTCCTGCATGAAAATCATGTTTTTCTTGAAGGATGCAGACTTCTTCCTGTACCACTGCTTGAAGAAGGTGTCTTCCAGAAACTGGCAGTAGGACTGGGAGTTGAGCTTGACTCCATCCTCAACCCGAAAAGGCCCCACAAGCTCATCTTTGATGATACCAGCCCAAACAAGTACTCCACCTCCACCTTGCTGGCGTCTGAGTCGGACTGGAGCTCTCTGCCCTTTACCAATCCAGCCACGGGCCCATCCATCTGGCCCATCAAGACTCACTCTCATTTCATCAGTCCATAAAACCTTAGAAAAACCAGTCTTGAGATATTTGCCTTTGGCATTGATTAGAGGGGTTGACTCAATTTGTTTTAACATGTTTCAATTTATTTTAGTTTTTTAGTTATTTATTTTATCTTATCTCATTTTAATTTTCTTTACTTATGCTATTAGCATGTACAGCACTTTGTGAACTCTGGCTTTATGTTAAAGTGCTTTATAAATAAAGGTGGTATGGTATTTCTTGGCCCAGTCTTGACGTTTCAGCTTGTGTGTCTTGTTCAGTGGTGGTCGTCTTTCAGCCTTTCTTACCTTGGCCATGTCTCTGAGTATTGCACACCTTGTGCTTTTGGGCACTCCAGTGATGTTGCAGCTCTGAAATATGGCCAAACTGGTGGCAAGTGGCATCTTGGCAGCTGCACGCTTGACTTTTCTCAGTTCATGGGCAGTTATTTGGCGCCTTGGTTTTTGCAATTTTGCAATTTTGAGACTGCTGCATCCCTCTACAAGATATCTCACTATTTTTGACTTTTCTGAGCCTGTCAAGTCCTTCTTTGACCCATTTTGCCAAAGGAAAGGACGTTGCCTAATAATTATGCACACCTGATATAGGGTGTTGATGTCATTAGACCACACTCCTTCTCATTACAGAGATGCACATCACCTAATATGCTTAATTGGTAGTAGGCTTTTGAGCCTATACAGCTTGGAGTAAGACAACATGCATGAAGAGGATGATTTGGACAAAATACTCATTTGTCTAATAATTCTGCACTCCTTGTAATGGCAACTCTCTTCCGTGTCAGGTGTTGCTGCACACTCTGTCTTGTTTTCCAGGTACGCAGGTATTGGGGCCACAGGCAGGTCCCAAAACAATCGGACAAAAATATGAGTTACTGCACATGGAAATATGAATCTTCTTTTGATTGTTCTCCGATCTTAAGATCACACTGTGCTGCAATATTCATTTTCCTAGTAGCAAAATGGCAATCTCCATGGACATATCCTTTGCATTTCATACCATGACTCCACTTGCTTCATCGCAGCATTACTTGATAGCTGCAGTCATTCTGGGCACGGTCGTAATGTGATTTTACTTCCAATCTGATAAAACTGGAGCAAAGCTTAGAGATTAACCTTAAAAGCTTTTATAGGTAATCATGTTTACATTCTTTAATAGGTGGCACCATGTGACCAGGCGGTAACCGAGGGTCAAGATGTTGTCATGTCAGTGAAAGCCAGAGGCCAGCCCAAACCCATGGTTTACTGGTAAGACATCTTTTTTTCCCCCTCAAGGTTTTATTGCAGCTAGACATCTCAGGAGAAACCTGAAGCTTTTATCACAATCAAGGTCACTAACTGTCTCACACAAACACCCCTCCATTACGCGCCTGAGCATAAATGATTCTGACAGCCGCTTTATACTGACCCAGGCTGAAGGACAGAGTCTCGGTGAAGACAGCAGGGCACTTCACTGTGCGAGAGATGGAAGATGGCACCAGTGAAATGAGGATCGGCTCGGCTCAGAGGTCAGATGCAGGGCTGTATGCTTGCAGGATCATCAATGAGTATGGAAGCAAACAGGCAGAGTGCAGACTGGAGGTCAGAGGTAGGTGATGAGAAACTGAACTGAATGTTTAGTCATACCATATCTTGTCGTTCTTCCTTATATATGCTCTATTTGTGCTGTTTTCTTTTTCTTTTAATCAACCGCTGCAGCACAAACGGCGTTGACGATCACCAGGGAGGTAAAAGACGCAGCAGTGAGGGCTGGAGAATCAGCCGTGTTTGAGTGTCACATCACGGGACCTCCAGATGTGGACGTGGACTGGTTGTCCAGGGGGAAGCTGATCCAGCCTGCACTGCTCAACTGTAAGATGCACTTTGACGGAAAGAGGTAGGTCCACCTCATGTTGCTGTCACTGCAGCACATTTTATTATCTGACAGATTTTTGGTGTCATAAAAACAAAATTCATTCATTTATTTTTCTTTATGCTATAGGTGCCGTCTCATGCTAAATTCAGTACATGAAGACGACAGTGGGACATATACTTGCAAGCTGAGCACTGCCAAAGGTGAATCATAAGCAGTGCTGTCCCTGTTGCTGAACAGAAGATGAGGTGTGATCATAAATTTTCAGTCTAACTAAAAACCTGTGCAAATTTCCCCTTCAAAGCCATCTTCTGGTGCTGCTGCTCTTTTTAAATCATCTGTACAAATCTGGGATTTTAACCTCAATGATTGTTTCCCCCAGATAGTTTTAGACAGGCACAGTACAGAGTTTTTCTGTCACACTGGCCTCGTTTCGCAAATGTGGCTTGTGCCTTCTTCCTCTTCCCTAAAACGATATAATTCAGGGGTGTCAAACATAAAGCCCCAGGACTGCAACTGGGCCTACAAAGACTCATGGGACATCTTACATCTTAGCTTACATTTTGGAATTTTAACTGTATTTTCATAAATTTTACTTTTTTTCTCCTGATAAAGACCTCCCCAAGCCCACATAATGCAGGAATAAAGTAAAAGATAAATCATCACATCATAGATCATCACCCACTACAGAATTTTTCAACAATTTATGCACAGGGATTTTAAATAGGAGTGCCTATGGTTTCAATTTGAAAATCCAAGATCCTGAATATTCTCGAGTTACTGCATTCACAAGATTTTCAGAAAACTCTCAAGTTCAAAGCTCAGAAAACTCTGAACCGCTGGTAGGAATTTGAAAATTCTAGGTGACTTCCTTCCTGAGTTATCTCATTTACAAACTTAGGTGTCCATGCAGCCCGTCTGCTTCTCCGACTGGCCAACGGGGTGATGATAATATGTAAGCCATCAGCCTTTTGCGGTTGAGGGGTAAAGACTGAGACATACTGTTGACATTGCACTTATACTTCTTGTACTAAGATATTTCAGAGATTAAATATATTTACAGTGACAGAAAGGAAAGATGTGTGTGGCCCATAATCTGTGACCTGATCTAACTGGTTGGCTCCTTTTCTTCCCAAGGAGTCTAACCTGAAGGTGGAAACATGGCAAATTTAAATCACATAAGGTTTTTTTTTTATGATCACACCTTATATTTATGCTGGGTTTTCCATTTCGTGTTTTTGTCTCCACCAGAGAGGTTTTGGTTGGTTGTTCTCCAACTTCTTTAGATGTGATTGAACATATTTCAGTGATACACTTACTAACAGGGCGCATGTGCATCTACAGAGGAGCTGACCTCGAGTGCAAAACTGATCGTCACGCCATCCAAGGAGCCTCTGTTCACACGAAAGTTGGACATCCTGGAGGTCATCGAAGGACGCACGGCACGGTTTGACTGTAAGGTGAGCGGATCGCCTGCTCCGAGAGTCACATGGATGCATTTTGGTAAGAATCTCAAAGCGGCGGTGCGGTGTTCCTACATTTTTTAGGCTTGTCCAAAGAAATGGCTTTTTAATTTGTCTTTTATAATGTTCTTTCAGAGTCACGAGTGGAGGAGAGTGATAACATTCGCATCCTTCAAGAGGGGGGTCGTCACTCGCTTGTCATCACCCACGTTGGCAGTGACACAGAAGGATTTTACACAGCAGTTGCTCAAAACATTCACGGAAAGTCTGAATGCACTGCTGAGCTGTACGTGCAAGAACCCCGAGCTGCCGTCTCCTCTCACATGTAAGAGAAGCCGTTTGTTTCTATTTGCATCTCATCCCTAATTGTGTAATTGTTAATTCTTTGAAGGCTTTGAGAAGAAAACAAACTATTTTTAAAAAATCAAATGTTCCACTTTTGCTTTCTAGGGCAAAGAAAAATAGCTCAGATGGAGCGAATGCGTGTGATAAAATCAAGTCGACCTGTTCTTTTCTTCCTCCAGGTCCAAGTTGGAGAAGATGCCGTCCATCCCAGAGGAACCTGAAGTGTTCGACAACGAGGTGGAGAAGAGGACCATGCCGGACTTTGTGCAGCCTCTGGCTGATGTGGAAGTCATTGAAGGGAAGGAGGCGGTGCTGAAATGCAAGGTGGCGGGCCTGCCATACCCAACTATTGCCTGGTATCACAACAGCAGGCGCATTGAGAACAGCGAGGAGCGCAAAATGACTCAGTGTAAGCAGATAAACACACAAAAATAAGTCGTTCAAAGTGGGGGAAAGATGGCGAATAAGAAACCTGTGTGTCTGTTCTCCAGACAGGGATGTCCACAGTCTGATCATTCGGGGCGCTTGTCATGCTCACGGAGGTGTTTACAAGGCTGTCATCTCCAACAAAGTGGGCAAAGCAGCCTGCTATGCTCATCTGTATGTTACAGGTAATCATAGATACACAATGTTTAATGGTATACATTACGGGATACACAATTTCCCTAATATTTTTGTGAAATATATAAATATATATGTATGTTTTTGGAAACAGATATTGTTCCTGATCCTCCTGATGGGCCTCCGGTGATTGAGGCCATTACAGGAAAAACTATAACCCTCAGCTGGAAGACACCAAAGAGACTCGACCCTTCACTTGGTAGGTTCATAACACACCTGCAGGCTGGTGCAACACAGGTGGATGGATATAATGTGTTGGAAAAATCATGTTTAATAAAGAGCTCGAACAAAGAAAGTGCTTAGGTCTCCCACTGACTTATATAAAGCGTAAAGGTTTGGAGATGATCCAATTGAAGCTAAAATTTTGTCCTAATTCGTGTGACTCTAACCTTTGACCTATGACCTTAAGGTACATTTCGAAATCCATATGATTGGAGCAGAACTGGTTCAAAGCCTTGGCTTCTAGAAGCTTTAAAAGATTTTAAAATATAGTCATGCAGTGTGTCATTTTGCACGATTTTATGGCATCACTGTGACGCTGTAGTGTGTCAAATTGGAAAAAATGAAAAGTGTGTTGTACAGCTCTCTCCATGCGTTTTCACGTGAAATAATACTAAGGGGTGACCGTGGCTCAGGGGGTTGGGAAGAGCATCTGTAACCGGAAGGTCGCCAGTTCGATCCCCGGGCTCTCTGTCCTGGTCGTTGTGTCTTTAGGCAAGACACTTTACCCTACTGGTGTTGACCAGAGGGGCCGATGGCGCGATATGGCAGCCTTGCTTCTGTCAGACTGCCCCAGGGCAGCTGTGGCTACAACTGTAGCTTGCCTTCACCAGTGTGTGAATGTGAGAGTGAATGAATAGTGGCATTGTAAAGCGCTTTGGGTGCCTTGAAAAGCGCTCTATAAATCCAATCCATTATTATTACTTGATATGGTTTCCTGAAAAGCTCAGTTTTGACCTTGGGCGCTAACAATCAAGGTCTAGGTCAAATATGTAGCCAGCCTTGGTCCCAGTGTGACCTCAGGCCTAGTATACTGTTGTGAAGTTTGAAGATGATGCATAAAAAACTGTGGGTAATAAATCAGTTTTTACTGATTTTAAAATTGAATTGACCTCAATCTCGACCCAATTTTTCCCAAAATGAAATCAGCTTGAGCTGGTATTGATATCTCCCATCACACACAATTTAAAAACGATGTCTTGAAAACTGTGGATGATAGACTGCTAACAAACAAACAAACTGAACTGATTACATACTCTCTCCATTCAAGGGAGAAAAAATACGGCATTTTTAGCACTGCTTAATCATGTCTTTGCCACCAAGTAATTAAGGAGCATGTGTGTTTACAGATGCCGGCTCCTTGGTGTATGTGGTCCAGCAGCAGCCTCTGGGCTCCATCCAGTGGTCTGTTGTGGCATCAAACCTGAGGGAGACAAACTACACCGTCACCTCGCTGTCAAAGGGAGTCCGCTATGCTTTCAGAGTCCTAGCATCCACTGGGAAAACGCTTAGCAAGCCATCGCCTGCCACTGATCTAGTCCAGCTGCTGGACAGAGGTATCAAGTGTGTTTAAGAGGCTTATGCTACCACTAATCTGATAATCGACCTTAAAGGACATCATTTCTACTTTTAGGACCAGTTTTGCTTTGTTTTCTTGTAACATACCTTTGACTTCTCTAGGACCGTACTTGAGGAAAGCGCCGATAATTTTAGACAAGCCAGAAGTTGTGTACGTGGTTGAGAACCAGCCTGCCAACATCACCATCACGCTGAACCATGTGCATGCAGCTGTCACCTGGAAAAAGTTAGTTTATTAACCTTCCAGTGATGTCCTTGTGATGTCATTAAAAAGTTTTCATCCGATTTCTTCATAGCATTCATCAGGGTCTGTTTCATAAACTGGATCATATTAACCCCAAGCTTCTTGGGGTTTATTTGGCAGCCCTTATACTAAAGACTAAAAACTTAAATATACAGTTCAAAAGCTTTCATGATGGCTTTAGGGGGATATTAGTGTACTTAATGCTGATCGAGACATACAGCTTGTCAGAGTAAGCCTTTCTTAGTTAAGAAAGACTATGTCGACACACATTCTGCATGTTTTACAAGAGTCTGGGTGCTAAACTGGCCTGCCTGCAGTCCAGACTCATCACCCACTGCCAACATTTGGAGCACAGAAAATTAAATAATGCAAAGCCCACAACGCTGTGCAACAATCAAAACAAAAAAAATGGCTTTCAAAACTACAACAGTTGGTCTCCTCTTACTGGGTTAAAGAAGACTCAGTGCAGCAAACTGGTAAATGTGGCCTTCTCCCAACTTTTCTGAAACCCGCTTACCTCAGGAGGGGCGTGGTGCTGGTCAGTAAGCCGGGGATGTGCGAGATGAGCATGCCGGACGATGATCAACACACCCTGAAGCTGCAGAGGGTCAGGAGCACGGACATCGGTCAGCTGGTGGTCACGGCCAGAAACCAGTTTGGCAGCGACCTGTGCACACTTCAGCTGGCCATGGCAGGTCAGTCCAGACAGGCGCACCACGTGACAAATTTAGCATTTTAGTGAGAATCCAAACAACTTTCTACTTATGTCAACAAGACAAAGTGTGTCTTTATTATTTGATCTGTTGCATAAAAACATCAGCTTTTATATTCATTTAGTGCCCAAAGGAAGATTGAACAACAGCGAGACCTGTCTGTCAAGGCCTTTTAAGTTCCCCAAAAAAACCATACTCCAAAAAAAGGCCATGGGGGGCAACAGGTGGTTTGTTTCAGAAAGCACTTCCGACTTTTCCAAAAGTAAAATTAATTACAGATTTAAATAGCAAAACTAGCTTAAGCATATTTTTACTGTTTTAAAGAAAAAACAATAATGGATACAAATTATGATTCATTAGAATTCAACAAAAATGGCCACAACACCATAAAATGTACTCTGTATGTGCGGTCCATAGTGCTTCTCCACCTTAGAGATGAGCTTCTTTTTTCCTCCTAATTTTCCTGCAGTGCCTCCCAAATTTGAGACCATAATGGAGGACGTAGATGTGCAAGTCGGGGAAACATGTCATCTGGCTGTTGTGGTCGAAGGAAAGCCAGATCCGGATATTCTGTGGTTTAAGGTAGTACATCCAACATTCGACTATAACTCAACTCAACTCAACTGAATACTCAGATGATATTTTTTTAGGTGAATGCTAATAGCTGATTGATCTGCTGCAGGATGATGCGCTCCTCTCGGAGAGCAGCCACTTCACATTTGTTTACGACGACCCAGAGTATTCACTTGTCGTCCTCAACGCTCAGCCCCATCACTCCGGCGTGTACACCTGCACTGCCAAGAACCTGGCCGGGTCCAACTCCTGCAAGGCCGAGCTCACAGTTCATACAGGTCTGCAGTCCAGCGATATTCTTACAGTAGTTGAAAAGATTAGGAATGTGTAAAGTTGAAAAGTTTCATATTCAAAAGTATTGTGCTAACAGATTTTTACCCCATTTGCTGATGATATTTACTGCTTAGAATCGCTAATAAAGGCTAGCTGTTGTTGAAAATTGCTCCTCTGAATCCGCACCATATGGGCGGGACCACAAGGTGTTTTGAAATTACAATGTGAAGCCATCTGTCTCTGAGCTAGCACATAAATACACCCACATATGAGTGTGTGCACCCCCCACACACACACTCACACACACATCCATACACACAAAGCCAATAAAGATGCCTATGTTGATGCTTTTCTCCAGAGCGAAAAGAAGCAGAAGAGCCAATGGAGGATGAGGGAACCATTCTGAGGAAGATGAGGCGTTTGACAGATTACTATGACATCCACAAAGCGATAGGGAGGTGAGTGTGCGCACTCTTCCTGCCTCACATCCCGACGAGGACGAGGACACTGACGTTAATAGTTACTTGAGTGCTCAGGGTCGGCCTGGAGGGCGGGAGGTAGGGGTAGGAGCTGGTGCAGAGGGGTTGTGTGTGTGTGTGGTGGGAGGGTGGCGGTGGGGTTAGTTGCACCTGCTTAACAACAGCAGACAGAAACGACAGATGAGTCACCAGCCACGAGAGTGGAGTGAACGCATTAGCCGACGACAGATGATTTGTTTTGGTCTAGAGACAGGCATTTACTGTGAATTGCACAGCCACTGGGATGGCAAAACAGGCAGATGAAGAAATCTGCTTTCCACCCAGTGAACAGCATGAGTACCCCAGTAATGGAGTTCAGATTATGAGTCCTTCTCCCAAATATCACAGAAGAGTGCCTAAGGAGAATGAAAGTTAATTATACAATGACTATTGCCCCTCCATTTGTCTTTCCATTGTTCTCACAAAGAAGAATTTATTAATAAAGTGGAGGGAAAGGAAATTAGTCATTAAAGGGATTAAAGGGACCTATTATCAAGATATATATATATATATATATATATATATATATATATATATATATATATGTGTGTGTGTGTGTGTGTGTGTGTGTGTGTGTGTGTGTGTGTGTGTGTGTGTGTGTATAGACAGAGAGTCCTGTGAAAATCAGTTATATAGTACAATTACAAAAAGACTGACCAAAACATGGGTTGTTGGAATGGCCTGCATGGGTGAAAAGGTTCTCTCTGAAAACAACGTGGTAGCACAGCTTAGGTTTGCAAAGTTGCATCTGAACAAACCACCAGATTTCTGGAACAATGTGCTTTGGACAGATGGGACTGAAGTGGAAATATTTGGTCACAATGCACTGAATTTTGGAGAAAACCAAATGCAGCATAGCACCTCATACCAACTGTCAGCACATTGGTGGAGGGGTGATGATTTGGGCTTGTTTTGCTGCCACAGGACTTGGGCACCTTGCAGCCATTGAGCCGACCATGAACTCCTCTTTATGCCTAGAGTCTAGAGATGTGAGGACATCAGTCCAAACCTCAAGCTCAGCAGCAAATCTACAACAGCAAGTCTGCCAAACAGAAGGAAGAAGTCCAGCCCTCAGGCTTAAAACAACACCTCAATGAACTGAAGCAATACTGGCAGGCATACTCGCATCTATCTATAGATGTTGCTCCATGACCCACACGTATCGGTAATAAGTGTGGTTACATGTGTAAACTGATAATGGTCTAAAACGAATTTCCACCATACTCAGCCCAACTTTACTAACGCATTGCGCCAGAACAAACTGGGTTTGTGTAAGAAATGTACAATTGGTATTTACAAAGAGAGCGCAATGACAGGATCGCATGGTAGAAGTGGCAACTGGGAAGTTTTGCAACTGACCCATATTTCACTAGCACATAGTACAGGGAGGAGAATATTTAAGTGTACAAATTGACGAAAGGATTGTGCTCAGTGCAATTTTGCCCTGCTTAGTAAATCTGGCCCTTAATTATCCATCTTCATCCGCTTTGTCCGGGGCCGGGTCGCGGGGGCAGCAGCCTAAGCAAATTACTGTCATAATAATAATAATATTTATAATTTACTTCTATCAAAGAGAAATCAGTCTTGAAAACAAATGGATAAAAAAACCAACACGGCTGACATGTACAAAACCATTAATGTCATCACTTTGTGTTTGTGGGTGCAGGGGGGCCTACTCCTATGTGAAGAGAGTAACTCGCAAGAACGGAAAGACCGAGTTTGCTGCCAAATTCATTTCTGCTCGCGGAAATAGGAAAGCCTTGGCTCTCAGAGAGATGGAGCTTCTGTCTGAGCTGGATAACGAGAGGATTCTCTACTTCCATGATGCCTTTGAGAAGAAGAACGTGGTGGTGCTTATCACAGATTTGTATCCTTTCACTAGAACATACAGTGAAATCTGTAATCTACGTTTTACAGAAAAATGTTTTTTCCTCCTGCATCTCCGATTCACATTTTATCTTCTACATTGTCAAACAAAAGTGCACTTAAATGCATCTCAAGTACAAGATGCACAGCATTAATCCTAACGTCCCCCCGTACCCCCCGGAGGCATGAATGAAGCAGCCGAGCTTTTTCTCTCTGACTCATCGCTGCTGAGAGGAATTAGCAAGAGATAGAGTGTGGGGGAGTTTTGCTCATTTATAATTCATTTCTCATGCACCTACCAGTCAGACTATGCAATCAAGTAGCTGCAGCAGCAGCAGCTTTGTTTTTCTTTTTTCTTAACTCTTGTACAAAGATGTCACGAGGAGTTGCTGGAAAGAATGGCCAAGAAAACAACAGTCATGGAACTGCAGGTTTGTGTCTTTCTGCTGCCTGCACTGCGCTTTCATTATGTAACGTGCCTTTCAGGATTCACTCCTGTTGTGTTTCATGCTACAGATCCGCAGCAGTGTTCAGCAGGTTTTGGAGGGTCTTCGCTATCTCCACCAAAAAAATATAGCTCACCTCGACATAAAGGTATCCATCTGTCCCACCACAAGCACTGTATCAGATTTGATTTACCTTTTATGAGTCCTAATGTTGTTGTTTTTGTACACATCCCCTCTAGCCAGAAAATATTTTGATGGCAAGTCCAGGGAGTGATCAGATCCGCATTTGCGACTTCGGGAATGCCATTAAATTGGAGACTTCAGAGGAGCACTACTGCAAATACGGCACACCAGAATATGTCGCTCCAGAGATTGTTAACCAAACTCCAGTTTCCACAGCAACAGACATATGGTCAGCCACCTGTTCTCTGGCATGGAGAAGTGACTAGGCACAGCAGGCACTATATACACTCACAGTTATCTGCAAGTCCATCAAATTTCTGTGTTTATCTGTGCTTTTATGTTGCTCTTCAAATTCCAAGTCACGTATGTGTCCTGCTCTCCCACAGGCCTGTTGGTGTCATCACTTACCTCTGGTACGTTTTTTTCTTCTTCACAGCATGTGTGTATTTAAACCCAATCAGTCAATCTGACATCTTGCTAAATAAAACACCTGTTCTTTTTTTGCTTTAGCCTGACCGGCGTGTCACCTTTTGCGGGCGAGAATGACAAAGCCACTGCTTTAAACATCAGGAACTACAATGTGGCGTTTGAGGAGAGCATGTTTTCTGACCTCTGCAAAGAAGCAAAAGGATTTGTCATCAAGCTTTTGGTGGTGGACAGACTGTAAGCATTTTGATGCCTCTTAGTTTTGTACCATAAAAATACTGTATATGATGCAACTGTGCTACAGTTCACAGATTAAACATGTCTGAACTGTAACTGTGTCCCAAACCTAGGAGGGCAAGTGCCATCGAGTGCCTTCGTCATCCTTGGTTCAAGGTGAGCTATCACTGGAACATCTACCATCCTGCCGACTGTGTCACTGATTCATGAGATGTAGTTATGTCTCTGTTAATAGTGCTCCCACCTATTGTTTTGTCTTGCAGTCACCAACAAACAAAAGCATCAGCACAGCTATGCTAAAACAAGTTTTGGCTCGAAGGCGATGGCAGGTAACAGACGACAAAACGTTCATTTAGCATTTGGAAATCAGGGTGAAATGCATAAAGACACCACAGGCTGATTCCTGCTGAGGGATTGAGGCTTGTTTTTGAATAGATTTATCATGTTTCTCCAAACATGATGCTGTGCTTTATGGACGAACATCTCCACTTTGGTCTTGTCTGTCCAAATGACATTGTTCCAGAAGTCTTGGGGTTTGTTCAGATTAGGGCTGCCACAAACGATTATTTTGATAGTCGACTAGTCACCGATTATTTTTGCGATTAGTCGACTAATCAGATCATCATCCATTGAATGTAAAAGTACAGCTTATTGCACCAGCAGCATCTGCTCTTATATAACTATCATTAGCTTACAGCTTTAAGTGTTTAAGGTCTGTGCTAACTAAAAATAAAGACAAGATGATAGTTAATTGAATTCTAATTAAATGTGCAGATTGTTTCGGTGGAGTTTAATAAACTCAGCCGATTTACTCAGGAACAAATAAAATACTGAAAAAAGCCAAACAATAACATTTTTAAGTTATCTAAGTGACTTGTATATGTTTAACCTGAGTAGGGCGGTGGGTTTGAAAACGATCTGCCGGGAGTCCGGTGCTCTCATGGCCCCCGGCTAGCTATCGAGCTAGTGGGTAACAGACGCCTCCGAAAACGTCGGAGCGCTTTTGAAAATATGTGGTGTCTTGATAAACTGAGCAGATATTTGAGGTTTACACAGCTACATTCTCGCCTGAAAATATGTTAAACGTTTATTTTGTGACCCAGAAAGAATAATAAGAGTAATATTAAAACTAACTAGCTGCCGCCATTGTTGACAACTGCGCTGGGCCGCGCTATGAATTCTGGGACACAGTTTCTTCTTCTTCGGGGTTTAACGGCAGCTGGCATCCTTGTACATGCAGTGCTGCCATCTTCTGTTTCAGTCCGTTATTACACTCTTAAATCCTGCTACTTATTCCTGCTTTTGGGATCTTACAAAGCTTCAAATGACGCGTCGACTATTAAATCAGTCGTCGACGATTTTGATAGTCGACGTAATCGTGACTAGTCGACTAATCGTGGCAGCCCTAGTTCAGATGCAGCTTTACAAACCTAAACCATGCTGTCATGTTCTTTTGAGAGATAAGAGGTTTTCTCCTAGAAGCCCTTCCAAAAAGGCGATACTTGTTCATTTTTTTCTAATTGTACTCTCATGAACTTTGACATTTAACATGCAACCTGAGGCTTTTAGATTCTTCGGTCGCTCTTTGGTTTACAGTTAAATAAATGGTTAAAATGATTTGCACTCTGCTTTTATTCACACTTTATACAGAGTTTTGGAAACAGGGGCGTACTTAGATTAGAGACTAATCCTACAAAATCCTCTGCTAACTATTTCAGCGTTCCCTCATCAGCTATAAATCCAAAATGGTGATGCAGTCCATCCCTGAGCTCCTAGATGACTCAAGCAGCCATGTCTTCATTGCTGTGGCCCGGCATTTAAAAGAAGGCTCCCCGCCACCCTCCTCTTCGTCTGATTCAGATGCAGATGTGGATGAGCTTCCCTTTATTCCTATGCCACTGTCCATGGTTTTCTCGGGTTCCAGGGTCTCCCTCAATGAGATCCCAGGGGATGAAGATGTCACGGGACGGCACGGTTTCATTGCAGATGGGACAAGGAAAAAGGAAAGCATAGGTGCAAATAATAGAGGAGGGGCTACTAAATGCATAAAAGATGAAGACATAACCCCAAATGAGGCGCAAACAGAAAATATAAAACGAGCTCCCTTGAAAAAAGGATCAAGTGTGGAGTCAGATGAATCCCAGACAAAAGCCAGGCGGTCTACAATGAGGAGGGGGAGTTCTGCCGATTCAGCGCTGCTTCTCCACATTGACCCAGAAGAAGAAAGTACAGAAAAGGAATCAGAAGAAAGAAACAAGAGTTTGAAAAAGGCTGTTTCCATGGAACTACCCAATCGCAGTCCAAGCCCTGGGGCTACAAAGTTAAGCCAGGAGGATTACGCCCTAAAACTGGAACTGATGAGACAACGGCTGCTCAGGGGAGGAAACGTGGACAAAAATATGAGTGGCCTTCGAGGGCCCCTTTTTGAAACACTCGGCATTGAAGATGAGAGGCAAACAGGATCCCTTGATCGGAATTTGAGGAGATCAAGAACTGGGCCGTCAACACTCGTCAGAGCAGCTTCCTCTGAGAGTCCAGGAGAAGACACGCCAAAGACTAAAGTTTTTCGCAAAAGTACCTCTTTCACTCAGGGGGATTCTGAGCCCATGCCCCTGCACAGAAGGTTTGGAGCCCCCTTAGAGATACCATCTGTGGGTAGTTCTAGCATAGTAGGGAAGAAGCTCCAGGAGGCAACCTCGATGTCTGCACTAACAGAAGACACAAAAGCGGAGTCTGCCTCAACCACAGCACAGGGAAGACCAGACCAACAGGAAAAACATATGAGCGAACTTGGTGAGGAAGAAGGGATGAAAGAAAAAAGGACCAAGTCCCAAATAGAAGGGGCAGACAAAGAAGAATGTGATTATGCGTATCCTTCTGTTATTACTCCTATAATAATAATAGAGGAGGAGGAGGATGAAGAAGAGAGGAAAGAAAACCAGGCATTACATATCAGCAAGCAGAAAGTGAAAGACAAGGAAATGTCACAGAGTAGTGAAGAAGCATCATTTGCAGGGCAGTCTCAAACATCTGACAAACCCCAATCCAAGGATCCTTCTACTATAGCCAAAACAAAGTCTGCAGATGCATCTTCATCCCCGGAACATCCAGCAGTATTTGCCAAAGTAGCAACACCTGAGCGATCTCCAGGTTCTGTCTCTTCTTCATCAAACCCAGACCTTCCTTCCATCCCTCGCCAGCTTATTCTCAGAACAGACATCAAAGACATTGACTCAGAGGAGCTCTTTGAAGCGAGGTTTAAAAAGCGAGAATCGTCTTTGACCCGTGGCCTCAAAAAACTCACCAGAAACAAATCAGAGGAGAAATCGCCTGTATTAAGTAGAAAAGCAAATGAGGGGGCTGAAGAGATTTATAGGCCTGCACCAAGAGGGGCGCCTCTAGAAATGGTATCGTCAGGACTTAAGGAGAAATCGAAATCTGTTCAAGATTTAAGAAGAGATGACCAAGAAACAGGCCTTGGTTTAATTGGAAGGTTTTCCTTGCGGGCCAAGAGGTCACCATCCACTGAGAAGAAGGTTCAGAAATCACAAGAAGATAAGCAATCCAATGTGCAGGAAACGGCTAAAAGCAAGAGAGTGTCTTGGGCTGTTGGTCGCAGTAAGTCTTTGGATACAAAGGAACTGAATGGTGGAGGGACACAGAAGAATGTGGATGACAGGGAGCAAGGAAAAGCTGAGGAGTCGTCTGTATCTGCCATGAGGCGTAAGTTTGAGTCCAAAGTGGCAGGAATCTCTGCCAAACTAAGGACTCAGTCAGAGGAGAGGAACAATAAAGACACAGAGAAAGAGCTGGCTCAAGGGGATTTACACAAGGTCACAGACTCTCCTGTCCTGGCAATGAAACAGAGGTTTGAGAACAAAGTGGCAGGAATATCTGCAAAAATACGCAGTCAGTCTGAAGAGAGAAAAGGAGATTCAGAGGGAAAGCGCACACCCCTGTTTACCCGCCACCGTCACTCTCAGTCTGAGGGCCGTGGACTCAAAGGAATGGGAATCCCTGAGAATCAGCTAGCAAAACAAACTGGCGCCTCAGGGTCTAAGGAATCAGTTGAATCCACTTCTAGCATCCATTCTGAGAGTGAGAGAAGGTCACGGTGGGACAGGTGGGGTTTGACAAGGGGCAAGAAAGACAAAACGCCTTCCCAATCTGATTTGCCCTCAAGCGTCCCCAAAGAAGAGGCAAAAAGCCAACAGTTTGTCCGCTCTGCTTCAGATTTTGCTCCAGTGTTTCACATCAAATTGAAAGACCACGTCCTGCTGGAGGGGGAACCTGTCACTCTTAGCTGCCTTCCAGCTGGTAGCCCACAACCACAAATTACATGGATGAAAGGTAGCTTTATCAAATATCAAAATAATGTAAATAGTGCAGATAATTCGTTAATGCTTTTGTGTATTCTAGATCGGAAACCACTGGAGGTGGATGACAGAGTCAACCTAATCTCCCACCCAGATGGAAGACAGCTTGTAATGATCAGAAAGTCCACCTATAAGGACGCCGGGGTTTACGAATGTGTAGCATCCAACCCCATAGCTACTATTACTACCTCCTGTACTCTTTCCATAGCTTGTAAGTCACTTGTCTGTTCCATAACATTCCATAACTATTTACGTTTTAGTTACATTTTTGTTTTATAGAATGGAAAAAATACATATATTTCTCCACCCTCTCCTGCAATTGTTATCAGTGGGGACGTTAGCAATAAAGACTAAAAATGTTTTTTGTACCTGTCTGTTAAATATATTGATTAGAAGTTGCAGAAGTTGTAAAGGTGAACATTTTCAGATGGTAGTGTGTGGGGATCTTGTTTTTGGAGCAGTGTCTCAAGTGGTCATTTGAGGAACTGCAGTTTTCCAGTACACCATTTCCAGCCCCATACATTGCAGCAGCAACAGAACATGAACTTAGCACTCTTCACAGAGGAAGAGCTGCTCATTTTCCTGCCAGACATACAGTAATTTTCATAATGTGATGCATTTTACATTATTGAATTTTAATTGCACTGAGAATGGTATGAATAATAACACTAAAATGAACATTATTGCCAATGGATTCATTTTACAGTAGATTAACTTAATGGATTTTTGGGATTTTCTCATAATTATCACCTATTAAAAGTAAATGATACCGTATTCCCTGCAGTTTTGTACATGATGATCAAAACCAACTGGGGCAGGGCATACTCTAAACTTCAATCATGCCTTTCCACAAAGAGGCTATATTAAGAGCAGCAGTCTGCTTACAAATGCAACAGAAAAAATGAGACTTTGGGGGCTTTGGTGGAAAGTATATTTCTTAGATGTCAGGTGCAGTCAGTTGCTTTTGAATGTTTTCCTACAGATTTGGCCGTGTAGTATTACTTGAGACAGCTTATCTCCCTTCCATTGTCTTGCTAGTGGGCCATCGTAAAAGGAAATGTTTTGTGAAAATAGAGCACCAAATTATCCTGTCATGTTTAGTTTCATTTCATTGCAACTCAAACATTAAATTGAATTGTTTTATATTTTCATATAAGTCAGTGATCAGATCTGTTACATAAATCTAATATAAACTAAACAACAACCGTGATGAAGATTAAACATGGCAGAGGAAATCTACAGTTTATAGAAAAAGAAAGTAACAATAATCAAACATGAAAACATTTTAGCATTGAATATCTAACACAAAAGGCAGTAAAGTGCAATGAAAAAAAACATCCACCCGTGAGCGATGATTAATAATCGAACAGCAATAACACCAAGGATTAGTAGTTAGCACCAGGTAGCGCCTTTTACCAAGGTTTGAACACAACTGAAAGTTGCTCACATATATTTATTCAGACAAATAAGACTCACAAACTTATAAAATCACAAACAACTAAAAGAGCCTACTCGGATCAGACCTGTGAAATCATGTGTCTTGCTTTATGGAATTAAAATGATCAGTAGTAGCTATGGTAGTTAAAAATATTTTTTCCCACATATAGCAAGTGATGATAGTCCTATAGTTTGGCCACCAAAAAGGCTTCTGTAGAGACAATGTGACATACTCCAAAATCCAAGTCCACTGGAAGTCATGCAATATGCAATATGCCTTTAGCTAAAACCATCGATTTTTCAATATCACGTTAGGATTTTAGCATTCTATGTATATTTAGCTATTAAAAGCTAATGGTAGCTATTTATTTGCAAGCTACTATAGTTAGGCAACAAAACGATAACAGTTTAGGATACTAAAATGATATATCTATAGAAATATGGTAGCTTAAAACTGATATTTGGTAAGTAAGTAAGAATATTTACTGTAAAGGCCCCAGAATATTATTCTTGCTTATGCCTCCCATGTAGTTTCAACATTGCCCACTTTGAGTGCTTGAAAGGCTCATTCCTTTAGTTAGTTCAGTTCATCTCAGTTCATTAGTCTGTTGGTGCATGCCTGCTGATATACGATTTGTAAGACTGATACCGATATTTGGTGATTTAAAAATTCAGTATATTGGTCACTATTTTTTTTTTCTTCTTTTAAACACAAATAGATTTCCCTGCAATTTCTTATGTGTAGGTATTTGTGAATCCTTACTAGGATAATTGGCAGTCCTTACAGTGTATACTTACATTACTTGTTGTTTTCCTCTTTTCTTAAATTCCAACTCTTTTTTTTATCTTCATCCAATGAAGGTGTCCCCAAACGACCAGGGACCCCTGAAGTTCCTCAGACTTATAACAACACAGCCCTGGTGCTGTGGAAGCCATCTGAGACAAAATCTCCATGCAGCTACATTCTGGAAAGAAAAACCGAGGGTGAGTTTTATTCTATAAGTTTCTCTCCTTAAAAATACTTCTGATTAGAGGAGATCATTGTTCACTTTGGTTTTTTTTGTTGTTGTTTTTTAAAAACTTCCCTTTGTGTACTGTGTCATTATGGCCTTTCACATCAGGATAAAATAATTTAACTCTACGTTTTAAGTTCCTAAGAGGTAACTTTTGTAAGGTTTTTAACCCAGTGAGGAGAATTCTCCAGAGATGATAGTTTGCAAATCTACAGACACCATTTAGATGGAGAAAGTGACTCAGTCCACGAGGGAATAGTGAGTGTACCAGAGCTGCTGTCAGAATTTTTTTTCATTATGGCCAATGAATCATCATTTGGCAGATGAAGAAGGGAGTAGATTCTGAATTTTTACCTGATCATTGATCAAAAAAGAAAGTAATCTTTGGCAGGGAGAATTAATGTACGTTCTCACAAAACACTGTGCCACTACCTAATTTACATTTTAATTCAGGTCTGATTCGCCGTGCTTTTACAGAAAATGAGATGTAATGACAGATTATTTTTCAGGAGGCAAACTGAACACAGGCTTGTGTCTGTGAAGGTTCTCAGTCATCCAGGTCATCGTAGTCAAAGGAGCTTGCAAAGAAAAGCTTCTGGACTTCTTTAAGTTACTTGAAGACGTTTCACCTCTCATCCGAGAAGCTTCTAACTTAAAGAAGTCCAGACGCTTTTCTTTGCAAGCTCCTTTGACTGAACACAGGCTTCTTATTCACAAAATCAATACTTTATGTGTTAATCAATGCTGCCATCTGGTGTTATATTAATTAAACTACTTCTTTTTTCTTTGGTTGTTTTTCCGTTCAAAGAGGACAAAATAGAAAAATGTTGCATTAATGTATTCACCTTTGTCTTCTAATACTAAACCAAGCATTTTTATACCTAGAATCATTCGTACAACATGTAAAATTAAATAAATACCAATCAAAATTCAGTATTTAGTTTCATATTACCTTATAGCAACATCTTATACTCTTTATTTCCTTTCCGTCCTGCAGGTGATTCGAACTGGTTAACTGTAGCCACTGGAATTGCCGACTGCTACTACAATGTCACAGACCTGCCACCAGGTGGCACCTTCAAGTTCCGCGTGGCCTGTGTGAACAAGGCCGGACAGGGGCCGTACAGCAACTGTTGTAGGCCAGTTAGCTTGGCGCCCACAGGTATAATACTGCCTGTTAAAGAGTGAGCATACATGGACAAAAAGCTGAACAGAGCTAGAAAAACAAAACTGTTCTAAAAGCATCACACCAAAGCACAAGCTATGGATTAAATCCCATCGTGTGTCACAATATTAGCAAGCCCAAGTGAACTGCATTCCCTCCAATAGAAAGCAAAGGGAAACCCCTTCTCTTTTTAATGACCATATTAATGACCATACTTGATGTATGACTCTTTGTTAATGGGTTAATGGACTTAATTGCCACGTAGCTGTCCCTGAGTCTGTTTGTGCTGGAGGTTTCTACCTGTTAAAAGGGAGTTTTTCCTTTCCACCATCACCAAGTACTTGCTCAAAGGTAGTTGTCTGATTTTGGGGGGTCTTTATCTTGATTTTAGACCTGGTAAGTCTGTCATTAACAAGATGCTACCCTAGGATCAATATCCGATGCTTTTCAGTCCAGTCTTTTCTATAATATCTGGTTTAAAACTAAGCAAGACTTTGAGAGTCAAAATGCTAACTTGTGGTAGCTCCTTCCATTTTTTATATACAGTCTATAACAAAATCATGAAAATCCTGCATTTTCATTAACTGGTAGTGCCACAGCATAGTATGAAAAGCATCCAGACCATGTACATTGTCTCAAACCAAACAAAAACAAATGTAAGAAAGCTACGCAACAAACAACATGTTTAAAAACTGTAGTTTGCTACAAGCAGCTAATATACTGAGTAAATAATTGATGTATTTAATCTGTCACTCTATTAACACAGTTGGAGGAGCTTCACCTACCGTTGCTGTTGTAAAGACAGCCCCAACCCCACCTACGCCTGTGATTACCTCCTCAGTGACATTCCCTTCACACAAACCAGTCCAAAATAGTGTTCCCAGATCAACGGTCTCCACCATCACCTCCACTTCCTCTACTCCAAAACATGAAGCCCTCACTGATGCATCCTATCTTCAATCTGCATCTCCATCATCTACAATTGTGGTGACTCCTATCCCTCTAACCTCCTCACCTTCCGGCCCTTCAACAAACCCTTCATTGCCATCTGCAGGTGCAACAGTGGATGGCACACAAAAAATAAGCCCCACTCTCCCTTCATCATCCACCTCCAAAGCAACCTCTCCCTTTGTCCTCCCCAAACCTCAGAGTCCAGTAAATGTGGTGACTCCTATGACACAGACTGCAGCTGTATTACCCCCACCTTCTGTTGTAACCCCACCTTCGACCCCCACAAAACCAACCGTGGCCTCAGTACCCACATATGTCCCCACGATCACTGCTACTGCTCGTGTGGCCCCGACTCCGGTGTCCTTTACCCCACAAGTACTACAGACCTCCAGCTTGAGTCCCATCGGTGATGGAGCCAGTACCCCCGCCAGAGGCACCCCATCGGGACGCACTACACCCTCTACTGCTCTACGACAGGGAGTTCCACAGAAACCGTACACTTTCCTAGATGAGAAAGCGAGGTGAGATAGATATTGTCCTTTTGGGGGAAAAAGACATGAATCTTGCAAAAAAACATCAGAGTTAGGATAACAAGAAATTCAGAAGCTGGTGAATCAAAGAGATGTTGAGACTGCTGTTAAATTTATATTTGTTTGACGTTACTCTGAAAGTTATAACTTGAGAAAAAATCTATGCACATGGTCAAGCTTTTATTTGCGTTGTGCAAAGTAATCAGGACTTATCATTGGCAGGGGTCGGTTTGGAGTCGTCCGAGAGTGCAGAGAGAATGCGACAGGTAAAATCTACATGGCAAAGATCATTCCCTACATTCAAGAGAACAAGCAGGAGATCCTGAAGGAGTATGAAATCCTGAAATCTCTTCACAATGAAAAAGTCATGGGTCTCCACGAAGCCTACATCACACCACGCTACCTGGTGCTGGTGGCAGAGTACTGCACTGGCAAAGAGCTGCTATACAGCCTTATAGACAGGTAGGATGGTGGATATGTTGACTCACACTGACACACAAACTCAGACAAACCTGCATAGCAGGAGTCTAAAAAGAAGATTCTTACTTGGAGTCATTAAGGTTGAAAAGGAGGTTGTTATTTGATTCTGCTTTAAGTTGTATTTCACACCATGGCTGTATTCGGGAGCAGCAGAGATAAGCTAGGAGTGAAGTGGGTTGCAAAGTGGCTTGAAGATATAAAATAAATATGCCCTAAATGAGATTGATTGCATAAAAGCGTATCAGCTGAGCTCTCAGGTGATGTAGGCTGGCAATGAATCAGTCTTTCATCAATCTCTCAACACTTTAAATTTAAATTAGCATTAATTTATTCAGGATATGCTGCTTGAACTCTCCCTGTCTGTGTCCTATAATCACACGTGAACCTCCTCTTTCACTGACAAAAAGGTTTCGTTACTCTGAAGACGATGTGGTGGGATACCTGGTCCAGATTGTCCAGGGGGTCGAGTACCTCCACAACCGTCGCATCCTCCATCTGGACCTCAAGCCTGACAACATCATGGTGACCAACCTCAACGCCATCAAGATTGTGGACTTTGGGAGCGCGCAGACCTTCAACCCCCTCAGCCTCAAGCAGCAGGAATCAGGACCAGGAACGCTGGAGTACATGGGTAAGGATCAAGAGATGCAGGCTCTATATGCTTAATATTTTCGATGGAAGGAATTTCTACTAAATCTGAAAATCTTCTGCTTTTCTAAATTTTCATCTTCTGATAAATGTGATCCAAGCTCCTGAGATGGTGAAAGGCGAAGTGGTTGGTCCTCCTGCAGATATTTGGACTGTTGGCATTGTCACCTACATTATGTAAGTTTTCTTTTTGCTTCGTGCCACTAATGACCTTTACCCTTAACGCCAGAGTGAATAGGATGAATTGTATTTAAATTCAGTCAAACAAATACGATGTTTTGCATATTTACATTTTGGAATAAGCAACCTGACTGTTTATTTTTTCTGTGTCTCTTCAACCAGGCTTAGTGGTCACCTCCCCTTTGAAGATAAGGACCTTCAGCATGTTGAATCCAAAATCCTGATGGCCAAGTTTGACCCAACGAAACTGTACCCAAATGTGTCTCAAAGTGCCTCTGCATTTCTCAAGAAGATGTTGAGCAGTTACCCATGGTGATTATCATTTTAAAAAAGTTGATTATAAGTTTTTTTTTTTAAACAAGAACAATATCAAATGCTACCTAATATGTTTTTTAGGGCCCGCCCGACTACAAAAGATTGCTTCACACATGCCTGGCTGCAGGACTCCTACCTGATGAAGCTCAGGAGACAGACTCTCACCTTCGCCTCCAGCCGACTTAAAGAGTTCCTGGTGGAACAACAAAGCCGTCGCACAGAGGAAGCCACCAAGCACAAAGTGCTGTTGCGGACCTACCAGAGCTCCCCTCAGTCCCCGGCATCTGGGACTTCTCCGCATGTTCCTAGCCCAAAGTGAGGTGACAGTAAAGAAGCCACACTGAAATAAAAAATCGGAGCTCGTTGCATCTTAATACGTCCTCTGTAACCGAAGCAGACAGCCTCGATTCAACAACAGCGGGATTCTTACGTTAAAGAAAATCCCAGTGAAGGAGAAGCTGACCGCTGTGATGTGAATCCACGACTTGCAAACTGCTAATTCACAAGAAGGACACAGGATTTCTTTTCTTTGATTGCACAGTTTCTCAGTCACATTGTGGTTTTCCGAAATTGCACATCAATATTCAGTTTAGCCTCGGTCTCCACTCTGCACGATCAGCCTGGAACATGTGTACCATGAATACTTTTACCTTGTTTATGCCACTAAGATTAGTAGTAGTAAACAACTCATGTGAATGTACCATGATTTAAGCTGCTATCTTATGTATTTTTTGCATTTAGCCACACATTTTAAAACCCAACCAAAAAGATGTTTTGGGTTTGGTTTTCTTTTCTTTTTTTTTTTTGTCATTTGGAAATTGTTTACTTTTTTCCATGTTAATTTATTTGCATGTGCGTATGTGTGAGTGTGTGCGCGCCTGTGTGAGTGTGTGCATGACCATTTTTGACTCACTTTTTTTGAAACTAGCATCATGGTGACAAAAAAAAAGGAAAAAAGAAAAACTAAAAATAAGGGGTGTCTTTGTGGTTTGTGTCATACAGTAAACATGAATTGATTTTGGGTGAGTTAGGAATATCTAGTACAATTTCTTGTTCTGTGGTTAAAACTTAACTTTTAACTGTAATACAGCGATGGAAAAAGGTCCTTAATGTAGATAACATTTTATTCTGAGAAGTCACACACTGGTAAATTACTGTGGTGTCAGTATTACCCAACGGCTGATCAGGTTACCTCATTCCTAATCAGCCTGTCACCAGTGCCTAAATCAGGTTGACATCCAAAATGTTTAACTTGTATATGTGTCTCCACTGGTTTTAATCCACATTTGATCAAAGTAAATATTTGATCACAATATCTGGACTTTATAGCCAAACGCACATGCATAGAGATTCTTACATGCCGAGGTTTATACATGCATACATACACAGAGTACATGCCGTCCTTGTAATAATAGACCGTCTTGTGTATTGCTCTATCACAGTGTTCCTTTTTTGTATGAATTTGGATGGTTGAAGATTTGTAAATGTACCAATTTGCGGTGTTTATATGTGGAAAAAGTTGAAAATGTTTTTATGAGATGGTATGTAATAAACTATTGATACAATTGGGAATATTAACTTTTTTCTTGTATGTGTAGGATGCTGTTTTAGGTTCACACTTACACTTTGTTTTTGTTTGTTTTTTAAAATTTATACAGATAATGGGCATGTAAAACTATGCAAACGATTCACTTCTTGTTGATGATCCCCTGGGGAGTGCAGTTGAGCACAACAAATATGACTGAAGCCATGAGTTCAAACTTTTAAGTGTTCATTTCCTTAACTTGTTTTCCTGCAATTGAAAGAGCAATGCCAGTTTTACATGGGTGGCAAGAAACAAGGAAGTCTTAGTGGCTATTTTATTATGCCATCATTGGAAAAAAAGCCAACATATGCATTCCTAAAATTCCTAAAAAATACAATATTAGGGATATTTCACTACAAGATTAAAAATGCACAAAATATGTATTGAAATACAAACATAACACTTTAAACTAATTTAAGTTTAAAGTGTTTATGTGGGTCTTGAAATACAATGGGTTTTTGACATCCCTTGCCCAAGTATGTGTTTTAAAGGTAGAGTGTGTAAAATCTCACCACTAGATGTCAGTAGATTGCAGTTTAAGTCAACTGAATTCTGTTGTCTTTCCACTACCAATTCACATACATAATCCAAGCTGTGGTGGTCACCGTAGGACAAATGTGTTTTAGTCAGCCGAGAGAGATCAGACAACGTTAAATCCAGACGGTACCGCAGAACAGCCATGGGTGGCTGGTGTGTTTCTACTGTTTGTGTAAAAAAAATTCTGTACACACTATCTTTTAACATATTTGAATAACATCAACATTTAGTAATAAAGATAATAAAAAATATATGCCAATTAAATTTTTTTCAGTATGTTATGTTTATCTCCAAGTCACCTGAGAAACCCTAACTCAGGGGTGTCCAACAAGTTTCCTGCAGGCTTTAGATGTGTCCTTGATCCATCACAGCAGATAAATGGCTAAATTACTTCCGCAACATGCCTTGAAGTTCTCCCGAGGCCTGGTAATGAACTAATCATTTGATTCAGGTGTGTTGACCCCAGGTGGATATCTAAAACCTGCAGGCAGTGTTGGGGAGTAACGGAATACATGTACCGCTGTTACGTATTTAAAATACAAAATATGAGTAACTGTATTCCGTTACAGTTACCGTTTAAAAAGGTGGTATTCAGAATACAGTTACTTTGTTGAAATAAATGGATTACACTGCGGTACTTTCCTGTTTCATTTTGTCGCGGGTCAGGACTGTTTGGGTTTTGTTTGACAGCTACGTTCTTTCGTTCCAGGCGGCAGCGTTACGGTTGCCATGGTTACAGGGCGACGCTCTCTCTCTCTCTGCGACTGTGTGTTTCCTGGGTGAGAGAGCGCCTTTTCGTCGTTGTTGTGCTAAGCTAACAGGCAGAATGCTACAAGCATAGCTCTAAAGAATGTAGCATCATGGGCAGTGTAGTCCGTGCTGCAGGGAGAATGGACTGCCATACACGTTATGGGTCTGTGAGCGCGAGGAGGGAGAAAAAGGGGAGTGGAAAGGTACGAGTTGTCATCCAGGAAAAACGGGAGCTGGAAGCATGTAAATATAATAATAACCACTGCAGCCAAGAAGAGAGCCTGACGAGCCCAGTTGTACGTAAGCTATTAAGACTCGACTGTACGCTGTGTTGGTGTTTTCCTCCGAAACAATAAGTTCCGTTGGAGCAGCCTTTCAACGCCTCTCTCTGTCTCTCGCAAGAAAAGTTGACCCACACAACAAAGTAAAGCTATTGTTCGGCTACGAGCCGACAGGGACCCCGCCGTATTAGTCAGAGGTCCCTTTACTACAGTTCGGAGTCGCGGACCTTCAGTAATAGTAATAAATCACACAGCAATAGTACATTCACGTTGTTGTAAAAAGCATGATAATATATTAAGTAATCCAAAGTATTCAGAATACGTTACTGTCATTGAGTAACGTAACGGAATACGTTACAGAATACATTTTGGGGCATGTATTCTGTATTCTGTAATGGAATACATATTAAAAGTAACCTTCCCAACACTGCCTGCAGGGCACTGGCCCTTAAGGCCTGGATTTGGACACCCCTGCTCATCTAGCAAAGTGACTAATGCCAAAGTCACCCTAGAGTTTCTTGCTGTCAGCCGGCTGTTTAGCATAGTTTAGCATAGCTATTAAGCGCAGTTGCACTACAATCAGTTGATTTCAGTTTGTGTGTGAGAAAAGGAAAATGCTTGAGTGGTCTATAACTTTTTAGGAGTGGAGCTATGAATGTTACTTTTATTTTTATTGCACAAAAGGACAAGAGTCACTATATAAGGTACATATGGTAAGGTAAGAAAATTAACAAGTAATTTATCCTCTTGAGAACCAGCCTATTTGTTTATGTTCTCTGTAATCGACATTTGTTTTTGGTCTCTATGTTTTGACTTATTTAAGCTACTACACTTAGCCCTGATGTACTAAATGGAGGACATCCTGGGCTTACCACTGATATCTCGTGTTTAGGTGGCCTCTATTACCTTCAAAGAGAAAGAATCACAAAATACAGTTCAATGGGAAGATTATTTTCCTTGGTTCTCAGGATGGTATAACATGTTACTTTCAGTAATGACCCAAACACTGTTTATAAGTACAATATTCTTTTATTTTATTTTATTTTATTTTTTTAACCAGACTCAAAATATGACTGACTATTACTTTTAAGTTTATTTCTACTGGTTTAAAAAAAAATTCTCAAAATGGAAATTGGTCAAACATAATAGTTTTATTTTATTATTTTAATTTTGCAAGACCAAACTGTATATATGTGGTCAGACATACTTCTCTTCGCGGAATCGGAGAAAACGGAGACGACACTTGCACGACACTCCCTGTCTATAGGCAGTTTCAAGGGGACCCAAACTGGGCGTTTCTTCTGTTGTTGCTACTTCCAAAAAGTTAAAAAAAAAAAAAAAAAAAAAAAAAAAAAGGGAGAAAAAAGGGAGAAAAAATTTTGCTCTTGATTGTGCAAGTTTTTTGTTTTTTTTTTTTTAACAAACAGCAGTCATTACATGACGAAGGTACAACCACACAGCATACACGCAAATCTGCCAGCGGCTAGTGCGGCATTTAAGGTGTTACAAAGTATCTGAAGACACTTTGGTAAAAGTTTGAGTCAAATCTGCAGGGTTTAATTATTTAATGTGGGTTTTGTTTTTGATCTTTTAATGTTATAGCCGAATAATAAAGTGCTTTGTAGGCGACATGTTTAAGGTCGGTAGCCGTGCAAAGGGAGCAGGGGCACTATCTAATAATAGTGTTTGTCTAAAGTAAGTCCGTAGTAGCTAGCAGCTAGCTTAGCTAACTCCTGAGTAACTTTGTTTCGGGCCACTCTAAGGGACCGTCGTCAAAGGGGCAGAGGCCGGCAGGGGGAGCGCTGCACAGAGCCGTGCCCTTACTGCGCCACTTTAAGTGAAATGGGAAGCCTTGAAACCTCCATGTTTGTATCTTGAAATTGCAAGCGGAGTTGAGCACCATATTGAATCAAAGTTGCCAACTCCTAGACAAACCTCTTAAAACTTCCACACGTCAAACTTGAGCGCGTATCCGAGCGGACACACGGATCCGAAGAGTAATGGGCGCACTGTAGGTGACTTGTTGCGATGTTTCCCGGGGCGTTTCAGCGTTGTTTTCGCTCACGTTAAGTTGGGTTAATGCAGCACCGAGTCGGCGGACTATCTCTAACTTTAAAGTGTGAAGTTGGCACTCTGGACCAGACCTGGATGTGATGGACAATCCGTCCTCTGTAATCACCCAAGTGAGCCGGGATGAAGAGGGAAATAAAGCCGCGGGAGAGAGGGGTAAGTTGCTTATTTATTTATATTCTATATATATTAATTTTTTTAAATACCCCTGTGCAGTCATGTCAGGGGAAAAAAGGAAAAGAAAAGTTTTGCAACTCCTGAACTCCGAGCCTAAGCAGTAAGCTGCTTATGAGCAGCAGCACAGATAAAGCCAGTGTTAGGAAAGTGGACAGAAAACAAGTCAGAGCAAGAAGACCGCGCTGTTGTGTGTACATTATGGCTGCGGCCCTTTGGCCTCTGATGAAAAGTAAAGGAAATGACGTACAGCTGGTTGAGACATCTGTAATAGTAGTCAGATTAAAAGCCTTTCCAGGTCCACCTTAAATCCCGGTTTCCTTGGAGTGATATCATGTCAGATAAATAACTTTTCCTTTTTTTGTTTTGGCAACACCACAAGTGGCCGCTTTCTGCAGCTTTACCAGTTCGGTGTTCACTCACATGAAAGAGTGCCTCTGCCACCGTACGCGCACACAGACAGGTCACCGCTGTAAACTCAAGCTTAGTAAATAATCAGGTGACCTGTCAGTCATCAGCCAAACAATGCTGAGTGGAAGCTAAGACTTTATTCAAACAAGATGCGGACAGACAGACGTACATAGAGGCAGTAGTGCCTATTTTGGTTTTAAAAGTGGAAGATCACATCTTGTAGTCTGGTGTGTTACACAACCTTTTCCCTCCATACATGGTGTTTACTCGATGTGAAGCGCAGCTGCTATATGAGACAGCGTGTTTGCTCGAATCTACCTAAAGAGATTCCCACAAAACATCTATAGTTTGCAAAGCCACATCAAATCATACTGAAACTTTTAGTTTCTCTTTCATTGTAAGATCAGGTTTATGCAGTCTTTGCACTTGTGTTTTCTGGTTCTCGCTGAATTAAGGGACATCATTTCACTGATTTTAGCACAGCAGCGACTGAAAATATGGGCTGAGTGATTGTAAAGATCCTCCATCAGCCTTCTGTCTTGCAGTAAGTCAGCCTTCTCAACTTTGTGGAGTCAGGTCTGCCCCAGATGTTAATCAGTATGCTGACAGAGTAAATGGAGTTCAGTAAGACTCATATATGGAAGCATCTTTTTAAAACATTACATGCTAACCAGCGCATTGGGTATTTATGGCCAAAAAATAGGATCAGAAGTCAAGAGCTGGTGGTAATACGACTACTATTACTATAACCAGCACAATGTGAG